AGATGCTCAGTGTCACTGAGGTCAGACCATAGGTGCCCCAGCTCCTAGTGCTAGGGGCTTCAGTGAGCCGTGTCTCCGTGTACAGAGAAGGAGCAGCCAGCACCTTCCTGAGCAAGTCTCTCTGCTCCAGCTGGGCCTGGGAGCACAGGCTGCCTTGCGGCTGGCTGGGGCTGCATGTTAAAGTGGGCTCTGGAATGCTGCAGGGAACAGCAGAGCTGGGGGACAGGGACCGGGGACAGGGCTCTTCCCCTGTGTCTGTAACTGACAATAAATCTGTGTGGTGTTGCCCAGCCTCAGGTGTGGCTTTTCCTCTGGGAGGGGCTGGAGGCCGGGAAATCCCCCGTCCCTGAGCTTGGGGAGAACCAGCTGCTCCCAATCCCTTATTTCTGGACAGTCCCAAATACCTCATGGACCAAGGAACCAAGCAGATGCTGGGGGGCTCTTGAAATGCAGTCCAGAGGGCTGGGCTGATGTCAATGCACGTGGTTAATTTTGTTAGTGCTTAGCTAATGATAATATTTGCTAACTAATTACTGTTAAATGAACTAGACTCCCCTCTGGGCTGCCTTAATGAATTTAGCAAGCTGGCTCAGGGCAATTCAAACCCACTTACTCGGGTTGCCTAGGTCCTGCTCTCCTCCCCTCGCTTGGCTTTTTCTATCTGAAGTTTGGGTAGCTAACTAGAGAGAGGCAGGAATGCAAAGGGCCCAGCTGCCCTGCCACAGGAGGACACGGAAAGGATGCTGCCTTCTGGAAGGAGTCCGTGGCAGGGGCAGATGCAATTGGAACCAAAAGGTCGGGTACCCCCGCGGGAGCTGACTCGAGGTTGTGTCTGTAGCAGGGCAAAGTCCTGGTCCTTGTCGCCTCTCCCAGAGTCTATATTTAGATAATATCAATTTTCCAGCTGGTGGAATCGGCCTTTGCTCATGAGCTGTCTTTGGCCTCAGCGGGTCTGTTGCTCTGAAGAGGCATTGTCCGGTCCGTTGGGAGCAGGTCGGCGCTGGGAATCTGTACCCAGTGCTGCACGTTCATAGCCAAAGAAAATCCACGTCAACAAGAGAGAAAATCAAGGAACTGGCAGAAGCTGTCAGGGGGTGTCCTGTGCCCAAGCAGTTCCCTGGAGAAGGGGCAGGCCTGCCCCAGCTGGGCTGTGCTGGCAGGGTCCTGCCCCTGGTCACTTGTTCCTGCCCTTGCCATGGAATGAATATTGGGGGGCTAATTTAAGTCTTGGATGTGACCGAATTGAAAGCAGAACTGACCCCCGCCCCCGCCCCAACTCCTTGGCAGGGGCAGCTCAGTGCTCTCTGCGTTGCTGGTCCGTGCTTTCCCCGGGTGGAGTAAGGGTGGGCAATCCCAGAAGCTGGGGCCCTGGGCACCCACCTCTGGGCTTGGAAGTGACCCGCTGGAACCTGCCCAGGCCCGGGACTGGAGGGGGAAGGGTATCAGTGGATGTCTGGTGCCTTCTTCCTGAAAACAAACAGATGCCCATGCGGCAGGGGCCGCAACAGGCTGTGACTCACTGGGCAGGTTGTTCAGCCAGCCCCGCACCAGGCATGGAAAGTCCCAGCAGCTTTACAGGGCTGGCACCCATGCTCAGGCTGGCTGCAGGGTTATCAGCTAGTGCGGGCTTCCCACCCTGCCCAGGATCCCAGACTAAGCACAAACCCACTGACAGGAGCCCAGGGCTTGGAAGGCAGGGCCCGGACCCACAGCGAGTGTTGGGGGCGGGGGTGAAGTTTGGTGGGCATGGGCCTGGAAAGCCAGGGGAGGAGGCGGGGAGGAGGGAAGGGAGGGTTGGGCAGGGGCCAGAACCCAGTGCGGGAAGGGGAGGGTTGCGGGGGCAGAGCCCAGGGGAGGGGTCCGTGGGGAGGGGAGGGTTGGGCAGGGGCCAGCAGAGTGGTTGTCGGGGAGGCGGGGGCTGGAGGAGAGCTGGGCCCAGCCAGTAAGCCTTGGAGTGAGGTGGGAGAAGCAATGTCTTGGCCATGCTCTGAGACTGCATTGGGCAGCATCCAGGCAGGCCCAGCATGGATGCAGGGGAGCCCCCAGGGATTCACAACAGGCCTCCCCCTTCCCTGTGGGGGGAGAGGCTGCCCCAGGCGCAGGGCCAGGGTGGCGGTGAGGGCACACGCCCAGCACTGCCCCTCCTCCCGCAGGCTGGCGCTCTGGCACTGGGACCAAGGGAGAGGGGCTGTTGGGGGAATGCCACGAGGCCCAGCCGGCTGGGGGCTGGTGTTAAGCGCACAGGGCACTCCGTGGCCTGTTGGCCTCATGCCCCGGTGCACACCCGGCAGGCGCTCGGAGAGCAGGCCCTGGGCTGCGTGGATAGAGCTCGTTGTGTGGCGGGCGAGAGGGGACCACAGAAGGGAACAGGAAATGCCGGGAGGTGGTTAGTGTTTTATTGGTGAAGATGTAGAAGTTCTAGGTCAGAAACAAGCTGAAAATCTCCCTCTAGAAGCTCCAGGAAACACCAGACAAAAACGTACAGAAAACAGACCGGACCCCCCCTGTTCTAATGGCCATGGTGCCAATGCGGGAGCAGGGGCTAGACGTAATATGGCAGCTGAAGAAACGGCTCGCATCAGCCTGACAGGGGCACAGAACTGTTTTTAACTATAAATTTTCTTTTAAAATGTCCATTTTGCAAAATGAAAATGACACCCAAGCATGGTCTATACGCCAGCATCTACAGGGCACCAACAGAACATATATTAGTAGCAACTGACTCTATGTACACACAACGTTCAGCCTGTCTGCATAGCCTTGTAGGATCTCCACTATTCCTGGTAAAAGTATATTTTATGGTAAACAAATGACTGACAAGGAGTGGAAAGCCTGTGCAAGGGGACACTTAAAGGAATGCTGTTTCGTATTAAGGTGAAGGGAAGGTTTTATGTGGAACAGAACAGGCTACAGAGTCGACCATATTTACAGTCATGAGGCGTTTCTTTTGATCCCATACACAGCTACTTACTGACTTCATTTCACTTGTGAGTTCCACTTTTGAAAACCTTACCCATGCCCTAAAACTCTTTCAAGCTAAGTTGTTTATGGACGTGGAACACCAGGGCGTTGCTAGACAGGGACAGAGTTCTCTGCGATATGTTAGTGGTTACACTTATTGCATTTATTTCATTAGAGGGATGGACACTAGGCCATTAGGTAGGAAATGACTTTTCAGCTGGTAGTGTCTGCAGCGAGGCAGAGCAGCTGGCCCCTCCTCGGCCTACTGAACAGCTCACGTTAAGGAAGAAAGTTCTTAACTTCACAAGAGGAGCAATGGAATATTGAGCGCCTAATGCTTTGCTATATCCCCTTTCTTGAGGATGATTTGCCTTTGCCAGGGGGCTAGTTTTGTCTCATCGTACCCAAGAGTCCTGAGCTTTTCTGACTGCTCTTTCTCCTTCTCCGCCTCTTCTCGCTTCAATTTTTCTTGCTCTTTTCTGTTTAGAAACAAAACAAACATGGGGGTGTTGGTTGCAAAGAGCCGCCTGAGGCTGAACTGGTCGGTGTGGAGCAAGGGTATAAGTAAAGCAAAGCACACAAGCCTGCTTAGTCTGGCCCTGCCAGGGTACAAAGACCTGGCCAGGAGTGAACATACTGGGTTCTTAGGCTACTTGAGAAGTAAATGGAGAAGCAGGACTCACCGTTTTTGCTCTCTGTGAAAACAAGGAGAAAGAAAATACAATTAGCTCCCAGCGGTACAGCTATTGGACAACCACTGTCATGCCCCAGCCCAGGGACAGCTCACCTTTCCTCTTCCATCTTCTTCCGCAGGATCTCTCGCCTCCAGGCTGGCATGGTGGCCAAGCGAGCTTCTTCTTCCTTCTCCTGTAAGACAGTAAAAGGCATTAAGGAGGCCAGCGAGCACCTGTAGAGCTGGAGAGAGGGCAGAAGGGACAGGAGAGCTGATCGGTTGGACTAGGCTGGAGAGCACGTCTCGCCTAGGCCGGCCCTATGGAGCTGGACCAGCCCAAGCAGCGACGAGGGGAGATGGCAGGTCGATTGGGCAGGGCTGCCAAAGGGGGAGAGGGAATTCCATGGCTCTCAGGTGGCGATGAAGCATCTGGAGGAGTTTTGACCCAAGAGGCTGTGGGCAAAGGCAGAGGTGCCACCATTGCCAAGGGCAGGGGAGAACCCTGAGGACACATGGAAGGTTACAAAGAACGGGCCGTTGCCCCCAGAAAGGAGGGTGTGCAACTCACCCCAGGGAACACAGCAATGGAGAGCGAGGCACCACCACTTCCCTGACGCAGCAAGCCCTGAACAGGGAGTAGCTGTGGCTAGAGTCAGACAGCTCTGGGAGGGCCAGGCCCCACTAACACACGCACCCCCACCTGGCCAAAAGTCAGCAGAAATCTCCTCAGCTGAGCGGCTTGGACTGGAGAGGAGGGACACTTGGATAGCTCCTGGTACCCGGGGCTGGCCAGAGCTTAGCAGAGCCGTTAGGCAAGGGGCCAGGAGCTCAATGCTCCACTTGTGCTGAAGGGCTGAAATTCACAGGAGACATCGTGCTGAGCGGGACATGGGATCTGCGGCCAGCAGAGGTTGCTGCCTCGAAGGAGCTGGAGGGTTGTTTGTACGGGCACCATCCTGCCTAGGGCCTGCCTAAGAGCAAAGTAGAAATGGCACCGCATGGAGGGGCAGATGCATGCCCTGCTTCTGGCTGGCTACACACCGGGCTCCTCTGCTGGCTGGGAACGCCACATGGGCCTTTTCGCAAATAATCCCTCCAGCGTTCCCAGTCCATTGCTGTCCATTGCTGCACGAGCTGTGTGTGCGTGGGTGGGTGTATCCGCAGCCCCTCTGTCCAGCTTGCTAGGACAGTTCTCAGGCACAGCTGGGGGCATCTCTCGGGACCACGGCAGGGGATGGGTTGTGTGACTCAGTGAACTCGAGCCAGAGGAAGAGTGGTGGAGGATTGCTGCAAGCTGGCGATGGCTGATCTCAACACTGCTTGGCAGGGGAGCTCACACGCAGCCAGGACCAAACTGGTCCAGCCTAGGCAGTAGCCAGTGCAAGGTTCCCATGGTCTCCCCAGCACTCTGCCTCACCCTGCCTTGGAGAGCCCCTTTGGGATGGGAGAGGTTAGTTCAGCATCCTCCCTCTGGGCAGTTGGTGGCTTTGCCCGTTAGTGCTAGCCCAGGGGATGTTATTTTAGTGTTTGATGAGGGAATGGGACTAAAAGCACCAGCCTCCCCCGGGCCACCAAAGAGTTGGCCAACAGGACCGTCTTTCAGCCTTTACTTCCAGAGATAGATTTGAACGGGCAGGGCCAGGCCTGCTCTCCGTCCCAGCAGTGTGATCGCAGAGTAACTCCACAGGATGGGATCCTGGCCCTTACGCCTCAGTCTTCAGCCAAGTGCTAACGATGGGCGACCAAGATGGGACCCAGTGTGGGGGCGCAGATTCCTCCAGATCTACTGCTGCAGGCCTCTTATGCCTTCCCCTGGGGCACGTGGCGCTGGCTGCTGTCAGACACGGCTCTCGGGGCTCAGCCCCATGTCCCTACAGCCGATCACTGCTCCCCCAACCAAACCACTCCCCTAAGACTGAAAGAATGAACCCGGCCTGGTGTGGGACCGGTCGCCTTTGGCTACAGACAGATGGCTTCTTCTCTGGGGCACTCTGACCACAACGCAGGCAACAGCCGAGCTCTTGGCATCGAAGGGCTGGGCAGGACTAAAGCCATGTGGGAAGTCCAGGGTTCGGCACATGTCCTGACTAATCAACAGTGCCACGCATCGGAGGCAGCACCTGTGGAGCGAGCAACCCTTCCCCTAACTCCCCCTTTCCCAGGTCGCTTGATGGTTTCCGAGGAGCCGGTTCTCACCACTGCGTGCCTCCGCTTTTATGTGCATCAGCGGGAGAAGAGTCAGCGAGCTCTCGCCTGCACCAGCCCCCAGCCTCTCAGGCAGCGTTGGGGGCGTGACCTGGCGGGACGCTCCGTGGCATGGCTCTGCTGCCGTCTAACTCCTGCTTTGGTTGCGAAGAGCGACGCTCGCAGCCCCGGAAAGTCTGCCAGCCTCTCTTGGCTGGTGCGTCCCATGGGAGCGAGCTCTTGGATAATTCCTGGCTTGTGCTGGGGATGCTGGGAGAACAGCCCCTCTCGTGTCCCAGCGGGTTTTGGAACCAGGCTTGGCAACAGACCAGGCCCTGAAATGTGACTGGGATGGAGTTAGAGTCAACTACATCCTGCCCTACGAGCTCAGAGCTGGGGCAGCATTCAGGCTGGTCCTGATTTCATCTGTGTGTCTCCATGAGACAGGGCCCAACCCTGCCACCACTGAAACCACTGGCAGCAGGATCGGGCCCACAGGGCCATGCCAGATGGAAGTTTCCCACACATTATGCTTGGATCACTCATCCCTGCTGTCTAGCCTGATTACTGGCCCATGGAAGCTTGAACCCTCAGGGCTACTCCCTGGGCTGGGGGCTCCAACAGCCCAGTGTTAGCAGAAGTGAGGCTTGTCAGACACGGGGCTGCCCGCACAATCTCCCATTAGCAGGACCAAGCCATGCTCTCACCACCAAACCAACCTGCTGCTTGACAGTGCAAGAGTGCCGTCCTTCAGGGCTTTCCTGCTGCTGGCACAGCTACGGTGAAGGATTTTTATATGCCACCCTCCCCCACACCCCCCATCTTTTCCTTTCTTTAAAGTTGGCTGTTTTGATGCTGCAGGAACCAGGCTAGTCGCTGGGCACTGGGCTTCAGGCCACATTCACCAGGACAAATATACATCTGGCCCTATTCCTTGGGTGTTTGCAGGACACTTGGCTTGGAACAGCCAGTGCCCCAGAGCAAGGTGTCGAGGGTCCCAAATCCCACTGAAACAGCCTCGACACTCCCTTCCGAGAGCAGAGAGCTTTATTCCTTCATTGTCACAAGCAGTGTCAGGGAAGATGCAAAACGCGCACAGACACACCCTCCCCCCATTTAAAGCAAACCTCATTTCCAAATGTCTATACAATAAACACTCTGGTCCTATTTCCATTCCAAGCCATGCACATTCCACTAGGGCAAGCTTGGGACTCTTGGGAATCTTCAAAGAACAATGTGGTCCAAGTGGTCTTTAGTTTGAAAGCACACAGCATCAAAGGGAATTCTCCACACGGCTTTAACATGATACGGAATTGCTAATCTGGTTGCAGAACCATGCACTGTGAGACCAATTAGTACAGCACTCAGCCTGTGCTCAGTATGGACCCAGGGCAACACTGGTGCGTTCCTCCGCCTCGCCAGAGGAAGGATGGGGATGCTCATACCAGTTCCTACTCCCAAATCACTCTCTTCCCAGCTAAAGGAAACATTAGCTAAAGAAGTGTCTGTAAAATGCAGAAAACTGGAGAAGCTTGTGTCATAGTACATTTGTCAGGGATTAGCTCTTCCTCCAGCTAATTCAGAACTACAGCAAATGTACACGCTGCTCGAGAGGAAAATCCATGGACCACCTCCTACGGAAAACGGCAAACAGCCACAGCGTCACGTGACACATGGTTACAGTCGCACCCTGGTCAGTTCAGCCAGCAGGGAGCACGCAAGAAGCTTCTCTTGAGAAAGAAGGACTCTGAGACGGTCCATGTAGGGAATTCAGGATTCAACAGAGCAGTGCAGACTCTGGGACTAATCCTGCAGTTCTTATGCAAACCAAACTGCCATTGAGGTCACAAGTTGCTGAAGCCCATGGGAGTTCTGCCTGAGTAACAACTGCAGGATTGGGGCCCCTCTGACGCTACTTATATGAATACTAAATTGTTTCTATTCAGAGTCCCTAGTCTGCCCAGTAGAATCCTGTACTGGGTTCAGCCGGGGAATATGTGTTTCTTTGTTCTGTTTTATAGCTCTTCACCTAGCCATCACATAAAATGATTACAGGCCTCTCCCCAAAGTTTGTCTTGGGCTCAGACAGGTTGGGCTCAGTTCATCTTGGAAATACAATGGGTCCCTCAACTAATTAACTGAGCCAAACAGCCCTTGTCAAGTCCTCTGGGGCCGGCGCACGTTTGATTGTCCCCTGCTGTCACTGGAGCTGCTTCTCAGCCAGCAATTCCCTCTATGAGATGGACCAACATCCCACCTCAAAGAGGATGCGATCGCCTTTACCTGCGACTTGTGAGCCGTGTGGGGCAAGGGCACGGAGGCCCCTGCCTGCTTCTGAGACAGCGTGCGCTGGGCACTGCTGGGGGGGCGCTCAGATATCAAACATCTCCGCCTCCTTCTCTTTCCAGAAGGAGAAGCTACGGTCTATGTAGCGACAAATGTCCTCGTTGCTGAACTCCCCTAGCTCGGAGACTAGCTGGATGGAGCTCTCCCTGCTCTTAGGGGCAGGGGCAAGGCCCAGTTCATCGGGCGCTGGAGCGGGCTGTGGGGCATCACTGACTAAGCTCTGGGAGGATTCCTGATGGAGCAGCAGTGGAGGCTGGGTTCCTGCTGGGAGCTCTGGTTCCGCTGCGGCCGCTGGCTCCGGCTCCAGGCTGTCCCCAAAGAACTCCTGTTTGAGATCTTCGAAGCCATCCAGCCAGTCCCGCTTCCCGGCCTCGATCTCCTCCATCACCACCTTGTGGAACTGGCGGATGAGCTCCCAGCTGTGGCTGCCCAGCCGGTCAAACATCTCGTAGCACAGAAGGTGCCGGAACTTCCTCTCCTCGCGGCTCATGCTCATCTCCAGGAGCTGGAAGTAGCCCAGCATGAAGAGGTCCAGCGTCAGGCTGCCGTATGCTGCTGGGGAGCCACAGACGCGCGGCAGGAAGTGCTCGGGCCAGTACAACATGCTAGCACGGCTCAGGCGGCGGATCTGCCGCGTCGGGACCTGGCTGATGATGGTTCTCCAGTGGGCGATCAGCTTCCCCACCACCTGCCTTTGCTTCATGAAGTACAAGAGCCGGTCATCCTCGCTGGGTTTCTTCCCGGTCGCCATGGGGAGCGGGGCGCTGACCTCTGAGTCGAGCGTTTCGGCGAGCCCCATTTTCCTCTTGGGGCGAGCGTGGCTAACCGACTCGGTGAACGTCCACTTCTTCCAGTGCTCCAGGAAGAGGTAGACGATCCGCTCCTTCCGCATGTCAATATAATCCTGCACGCAGCTCAGCTCCGTCTGCACGGGGAGGCTTCTGGTCAGGTGGTCGGCACTAAATAGGGCCTCCCCGAAAGGCTCCGTGGCTGCACTCTGTGTCTCTGTGTCTCTGGAGGGCCGGGGCCCAGCTTCGCAGTAGGGCAAGGGAGCCTGCTCTAGCGTCCTGGGTGGCTCTATGCCATCCGCTGCAGCATCTTCGCTTAGTGCACTGAACAGATCGCTGCTCGTTATATAATCCTCCTCCAGGATGGGCTCTCGGCTGTAGCTGTATGGCATGGTTCCCACAGGCAGGGACCTCTTCCGCTTGTACACCCTGCTGGACACAGCCTCCAGCAGCTGGCACTGCGTGTGCAACTCATAGTTGGCCTTCAGGTTCTTCACCGACACACCATATTGCACAATCTCCTTCTCCACCTCCTCCCGAGTGCAGCTGAAGGACTGCGATCTCCCGATGTTAGCAGAGCCCTCTTTTAGCGGTGCTGCCTTGGGCGAGGTGCTCGCGGCCTGTCTCGTGTGCTCGGATGTGTCGGGGCTCACCATATCTGCCAGGTTGACTGCCTTGCCCCCAAGCATAGCCAGGAGAATGGCCATGCTCTTTAGGAGAGTGGAGATTTTGCTGCACCAGGCCGGGAGGTCATCGGCTTGGCCTTGCATGCGCTTGGGGTTTGCCGTGAAATGCTCCTTTGCCAAGGCAGCAGAGAGTGGTAGGAGCTGCTGCATTTCGTGTTCCAGCTGTTCCAGCTCCGTCTCCACCTTCTGAACTTTGTGCATCACTTGGAGGCTCTCGATTTGCTTCTCAATGCGGATTATGTCCTCCTCAGTCATCAGCTGTCCGAAGGGTCCCAGAATGCCATTGTGTGCATGGGAATACCTCCAGCCTTCGTGATTGTAGTAACTCTCGGTCCCAAGCTAAGGCAGGGGGGGAAAAAACATCTCCCTCAGGACAGAGCTCCACATTGTCCTTTCTCTGCACACACTCTAGACTTTACATGTCCTTAGTGGTGTAATGGCAATGGGCAGGCTGGAAATACTGAGCGCAAGGAGAGGGCAGGGGAGTGTAGACAAAGGCAGACGATACAAAGCAAATGGAGTGAGGGAATGAGGCTGGAGGAGAGAGCCTTACTGTTTGCATCGCGCACGCTCTGCTGGAGAGAGAACTTTGCTAAGAATATGTTGTTGCTAGTCCCTGATCAAAGGATACAGCAGCAGATGCTTCCAGGAACCGCTCACTCATTACACCACTGAATGACCATGTAAGACATTTAAACCTGCAGTATCTTCTCCGTATGAAATGGGAGAGTTGAGGGGTTTGGCTTTGTTCATAAACCTCCCCTCGGTCCTCATTTTAAAGTAGAAAATGGCAGCTCTGTCCCGCTGCCCAGCTTGGGCGATCGTTGGTTCGGATGGAGTGGGTACCCTCTACCAGCTGTTAATGGCTGATACGTGATCAGCTTTCAGCTCCGGTGACAGGCATAGCTCATATTCGATAGCCCCGCATGTGCTAAATACTGCAGTTTAAATGCATCTCAGAGTTGACCAGAGCACTGCAAAGAGCTCAGCCTCATGCAGAATGCTTCAATTCATGCAGAACTCTCCACAGCACACACAAATCTTAACGGGTCAAACGTTTCTGAAGGGAAGCAAGTCCTCCGTGTGAACAAGGCACGTATTGCACGCCCAGAAGGAAAACACTGGAGACTGGGCTTCGGCCTTAACAAACTGTGTCTAAACGAAAATCCAAGCCCAGAAACCAACTGGAGAAAAAGAGACTTTTCAAGCTGAGAGCTCCAATAATACCTTGCACCCCCAAATCACTGACTCTTAGGGTCACTTTCTAACAGCGCTGAGATGGCCTGGCTGGAGGGATTGCGCAGTGGCAGGGTTTTATGGTAGGTTTTAATGGATTTCTTTAGAATGAATCCTTCACAACTGACCATTTACACAGCTGTAAGAGCCCTGCCAGGGGTAGGTGGCTCCAGCCAAATGGAGCTGACATCAGAACTGCTGAGATCCATTTGAGCAGGAGTCTGAGGAAGGATGGCTCCCCATGAGGACACAACCAGGCCAAGTCCTGCCAGGATAGGCTAGCAGACCGTTCTGGCTACTGCCCCGGCTGTGAGCTCCCTCTATTCCCGAGTCCAGCTGGCATGGCTGTTGCCAGGTCACTAGTCCCTTACCCAGCATGCTCTGGCAGCTCCTACAGCAGCGCTGGGGCTGAGCCGTGGTCCTGATTACCTACCCCGGAGCCCGTTCCATTAATAAAAAGCTTCCTGCTGCATCAGTCAGGGCTGAGATTTCTCAAAGCCCACTAGCTGCACTAACCCCCATTACCCTGGATGGGGGCCGTGCGTGGGACACTGATCAATTGTCTGGTCAGCTTCAGAAATCTCCGCCCAGCCTCCCTCTTCAGAGAATCCAGCCGGAGCGAGGCAACGCACGCTGTGCCAGGGTGGGGGGGGCCCCGTGGTGGGAGACGATACAGGTGCTGTGGGGTGCAAACCCTCACCACACTCCGGTGGGAATGTCGCTGCAGTGGAGGGAGGGGCCCAGCTCCCCAGGGCTCTGTCCAGCGAAGGCGGATGTTCATGCAGTTGGGGGAAGGGTTCTTTCCTTTCGCCAGGAGCCAGATTGCTGCTGCTCATGCTACTAGTCGGACTCCTCCAGAGGGACCCGCGCTGTGGCCGGGTCTCCTAGGGTCTGGCGCTGTCCCCATCACCTCACCATTGTACTTGAGCTATTGCGCCTCCCATGCTAATGAGAAAATCCCGAGTCGATGCTGTGGAACACCCACCTCATCTGCAAAGGTCTTAAATACGGGTTGACCGTGATACTTCCCCTGGCCTCCCTGCCCAGTCTGTTTACCCACTTTGCTCCGCATTTGGTTTCTGCAACGAGCCCAGGCTGACATGAGAGCGAGCGTCTCTGCAGGGCTGAAAGCAGCCGCTCGCTTGCCTCTGCTCTTGGACAAAGGTGTCAGCCAGACTGCATGTTCCTTCCGCCTGGGGCTGTCTCTCATGCTAACATGCCTTGAACTGCGGGTGGCTCCTATGTGGCCCTGCTCTGGTTCTCCAGGACATGCCAGCCAGCCTTGCCTTCCATGGATCCTGTCTCTGCAGCCCTTGGGGAACCGCAGTCAAGAAGCAGCTTAGCAAAGACTGAGCTCTGGGATGGCTTGTGGCTTCGGCTTGCCTCTGGGGAGGTTTTACATCACAAAGCCTTCTTCCCGCTGTAGGGCTACCATGGCTGCCTGGAAGGACGGAAGCCTGTCTGGGTGTGTCAGTAATGAGTGCACACCTAGTGTGGCTGCTTGGGCCCTAGCGCAGCAGGGTGTGCGTGGGTACAGACAGACCGTGCTGCACAAGTGCACCTTGGCCTCCCGCTGTCGTACCGAGCCTCACTGATGTACTCGCTGAGCGGTTCCCCCTGGTGTGAGCAAGGATGGCATGACCCATCCCTTCGCTGGCACCTGAGCCAGAGCAGGTGGGAGCCTCTCCACTCATTGCTGGGGGTGGCCCCTCTGGGCCTAGGTGTGGGGGAGCCAGGCTGTCGAGTCAGACCCCGACCCCAGCACTCTCTGATGAACACCCTAAGTGAGTGGATGTGATGGCGTACCAGCTTGCAGCTGCTGTCTGGGCAATGCTGAGTAGAATGCAAGATGTGTTTCTGCAAGTGCAAAACCCTGAACTCCTGCCTATAGGCCCAAGGGAAACTGGGGGTTAACAGGTGGTTTATGGGTTAGACGCTGGGCTGTCTGCTTTTCCTGTAGCCATTGAGATAAAGTCGCAGGCGCTGTTGGATGCCCTTCTCTACTAGCTGGTCACGTGTAATGACTCCTGCTTGTTTAGCTTTATCAACACCAGGAGCTGCTGCCTGGAACCAGCCTAACCTGCACCAGGGCTGCTAGCCTGCACCAAGCCTTGATGATTGCCTCTCCCATAATGCACTTTGCCGGCTGGGAGGGATGAGGGGTTTTTCCTCTACCTGTCCCAGAGGCCCAAATCCTGCCCTGTGCAGCCCAGCTGGCCATCCTGTGTTTCCCCATCCCGCTTTCTGAGTCACCCTGAGCCGCCGGGTCCAACCCAAGGGCGGTTAGAACGGCTGCCTCAGGCCCCTCTCGCAGCCTCGGCCCCGTCACAGCACACGGCAGGGGATGGTCACAGCACACCGCACTCCAGCACGTGGAGGGCCCCCCTCCCTCTTACCTTGCGCTTTTGCTCCTCCTCTTCCTGGATCTTCATCTGCAGCTTCCGCACCATCACCTGCCTCTTCCACTCGGGGATGGGCCGCCCCTGCTCGTCGTGGGTGGGGATCAGGGACTCGATGTCCAGCTGGCTGGGCTGCCCCGAGGCCATGAGCGGCGAGTTGCCGTTGATGACCGGCTCAGGGGAGCTGGTGGCCCAGGGGACGGAGGCTGTGTCGGGCGTGGTCGGTGGGGTGAGTGTCCTTGCGGGGGACAGGGAGGAAGCTGCAGTCTCTAGCTGGATGGCAGAAAGAGGAGAGGGCTTTAGTTCAGGGAATGGCGTGACACAAGGGAGATGCTACGTGAGAAGGCGCTCGCTCCGAGAAAAGCTACCCCTCTCCCCGCGGGAGGGAGCCCAAGATCCTGGTCATCCGTGGACTCCCTCTGCCCCATGCTGGCAGTCCTTAATTTGTGCTAGGGCTTGCTGGGGCTGAGCCCCGGCACCTCTGGGCCCGGCACTTCAGAGTCCCAGCACCTCTAGATTTGCTGCGTCAGTTATGAAAGTTAAAAAATTGCTTGAGTCCTGTCCCCTCTGTCATTACAAAGTAAGTCCGGTGTGTGGGACTGTGATGAAGCGGGACTGTTCTTAATGTTTCCTCTGAATAGTGTGGGGGTCCCTCAGTTTCCCCTAGGCAGTTCTTAAGTATCTAGGTGGTGGGATAGGGGTGTATGATCATTGCAGAGCCCTAGAGGGCAGGTGTGTGCAGGGGTCTGGACACAGAGAATGGCCGACACCCTGTTTCCTGGCAACTGATGGCCTGGGCCCTTCCCCCTGCAAGGTGAGAGCTAAAGGGTTGGAGAACAAAGGAATCAGGTGACCTCCTGGCCCGGGGAAAGGAACAATGCCCAGAGGAGGAGGGGCTGGAGGGGGTTTCAGTTTGGGGCTGGCTGGGACATGGAGTGAATTGCAGACGTGGTTGTCTGGCTCACTGCCCCCCAAAATGGACCCAGCTGAGGGGTCCTGTTCTCTGCACCTACAAGCTCTGTGTTAGACCATGTTCCTGTCGTCTAATAAACCTTCTGTTTTACTGGCTGGCCGAGAGTCACGTCTGACTGCGGAGTGGGGGTGCAGGACCCTCTGGCTTCCTCAGGAGCCCTGCCTGAGCGGACTCGCTGGGGGAAGCGCACGGAGGGGCAGAGGATGCTGAATGCTCCGAGGTCAGACCCAGGAAGGGGGAAGTTGTGTGAGCTGTGTGTCCTGAAGACAGGCTGCTCCCAGAGAGGAGACTTCCCCAGAGTCCTGACTGGCTTCATAGGGAGCAGTTCCCGAGCATCGCCCGGGGACTCCGTGACAGGGACATTCTGTGCTGGGGAGCCATGGGGACGAAGCCCCTTCCTCCAGGTGTCTGAGCCATTCCGGAGTGGTGCTGAGCTTTGCCATTCTCCTCCCCTCGCCCAGCATCTGTTGTATGGGGCAGCGCCTGCCTCTCGCTCGGTGCTTGTACAGCGCCTGGCACAGCATGAGACACAGAACTGAATTCTACAGGAGGGCTCAAACAGCCCAGGGACAGGAGCCTCTTTCCTGTCAGACCTGTTGAACCCATCCATGCGGAAGCCTCACAGCGGCCCCGGGCCTCAGGCAGCCCTGCGTCTGGGGGCCAAGCCAGCTCCAGGGATGCTCTGGGGATTCCCCACCCCAGCACTCCCTAGGAGGGCTGGTGTCCCTGTTTGAACAGCTGCTCTTGGCTGGGGTAAGCCCCCTTCTTTGCTGGGTGCTCGGCTCCCGGGGGAAGGTTACATTGACTCCTGGCCAGGGCGCTCTGTGGGGAGGGGGCTCAGGGGCTGCGGGGGGGGGAGGCCTGCCATTGCCTGGGTTTTAGCACGGGAGTACCCAGCCCATTCAGGGCAGATCTCTGCCCATGACTCCCCAGGGCTGGGAGCAGCGGCTGTCTCCTGTGGAAAGTGCCCTCCCTCCTGGGCCCCCAGCCCCCCCTCCCCAGCGGCTCCCTGCTTACAGCACAAAGCGGATCATGCTAAATTTTGCTGAGGATTCCAGCTGGTTGTGACAACTGCAGCCAATCAAATTTGCCGCCCTTAATTAAAAAGTTAATCCAGTTCCTAACCCAGCTCCCCGTCCCGTGGAGCTGAGCGGGGCCCGAGTGGAGTGGGGCCAGCCAGTCACCTACATTGGCCCCTGCCTGGCCGCTGCCTGAGAAGACAGTGGTGAGGCCTTTGCTCTGCGGAGTCGGCTTGAGGCTCTTCCCAGCCTTGATCTCTGCCAGCAGCTCGGAGTTGTCACCGGTTGGGGACATCATATTGAACGACTTGGAACCTGGCAGGAGGAAGAGGGGATGTGGTGAGGAGACTCACAGCAAACTCACCCCAGGGCTTTGCTAGGCCTGGCCCCCCAGAGCCCCGAGCCAGCGGATGTGGCCCCAAACTGCACCTTGGAGCTCAGCAGCTTCGGGCCACTTTGAACAGGGGGAGAGTAATCGCAGAGTCAGGGGTCCTGTGGGCAGCTTCGCTCCAGGCCCGCTGCTGCGGCTGAGCTCCCCTGCAGCGAGACGGGGAAGAGGCATTGCCCACGCAGGCAGCTCCCAAGCACCTGGGGCATTAGAGGTCAAAACCAACCCTGAAAGTGCGAGGCAGCTGGCACAGGTCCCAGAGCTGCTGCATTCTGCCTGCTGATGGACGGCAGGGCCC